TCGGTACAAATAAAAGGACGGTATAAGAGAGTAAAATAACACAAATACTCTCCTCTGTTAAGAGTTTATATATAAAAAATTATTTTAAATTTTTTCTTTGTATTATGTTTAAAGCATACGGTGTCATCGGTTTTTTTTTGTTTAAAAATTATTTTAAATTTTTTCCTCATATTATGTTTAAACGTATAGTATCACTGAATTTTTTTTAATTTTTTTAAAAAAAATTATTTTGAATTTTTTCTTCATATTATGTTTAAGCGTACAATGTCACTGATTTTTTTAAAAAAATTTTTTTTAAAAAATTATTTTGAATTTTTTTTTATATTATGTTTAAGCGTACGATATCACTGATTTTTTTTAAAAAAATTATTTTGAAATTTTTTTTTCTATTATGTTTAAGCGTACGGTGTTAACGATTTTTTTTTTTGAATGTTTTTTTAAAAAAATTATTTTGAATTTTTTTTTTATATTATGTTTAAGTGTAAGGTGTTAACAGTTTTTTTAAAAAAAATTATTTTAAATTTTTTTCTTGTATTATGTTTAAGTGTATGATATCACCGAATTTTTTTTTTTTACGGTATCACTGATTCATATCATTAGATTATTTATTATACCAAACATTGTACAAAAAAGTTACACAAACAGAGTAATGGAATGGGAGATGTTAAAGTTAAAATGGTATATTTGTTATATAAGATGTGATAGAATAGATAGTTATTTGTGGGACCTACCGTAGTATTTATTGAACAATCAAACATTAGAAAGGATGAGATAAAAATTTAAGACCAAATATATTCTAATACCACCCAAATCTAATATTGCAAACAAAAGGCCTCAGGTGTATGGAGGGAACAAACTTTCTGAATATTGTTTCATGTGGCCTTTTTTTGGCATGTTTTGAATTTCATTCTATATCTTGTTGTTTTGGTTTGATAAATTTATTTAATTTCAAAAAAACAAGAGAAAAAAATAAAATAAATAAAAAAGAAGTCGAGGGTATAAAATATCTGTTTTGACAGAAAACTGGGCCGCAAGGCTCATGACTTGAGTCTGCCATTAGCCTACCTAGGAATCAAATACATGTGCTTAGAAGGGAGTTGTTTGCATTAGGGCTGATCAGCCCTAGGCCTAAGCCACCTGAGTGGTTGCCTAGGCCCGTTACATTTTAAAGAATTTTAGGCCCCAAAATTCAGAATTGAATCCAATGTAAAAATTTTCAAGTGAAATCGGAATAGAGTCCCCCTAGATGTATTTATTTGAAAATAAATTCTGTAAAGAAACTTATAAAGGGTTAAGTTTTTGTTTAAAAGTATATATAATGACTTAAGTCCATTTTTTTTATCTCAAAAATACCCTTCTTTAAAAGGAAGTTAATTTTTTCTCTCTCATATCTATTTATATCCATATATAGGTTAAGAGTTTGACTAACATTAAAATATTTTCTCTCTCTTATCAAGGTTAGGTATATATATATAATAATATTAAAAAAATTAGTAACATTCAAATAAAAAAAAATTACTATAAATTTGAATACTAAAATTCAAATTCATGTTATTATTTTTTTTATTATGTTACTGTTCATGTAATAATTTTTGTTGAGTATATCACTGTTCATGTACTATTATTTTTGAGCATGTTAATGTTTTTGTTTAGCATGTTACTAATATTGCTTTCTTAAATATTAATATTCAATGTTATTATTTTTTTTTGAATATTATTATTTTTTGTATTTGAATTGTACTATTTTTTGCTTATGAATTTGAGAGAAATAATTATTGTTCAATATGTTACAAGTTTTGTTAAGCATGTTACTATTTTTGTTGAACATGTTAATATTTTTGTTGAACACGTTATTGTTATTATTTTTTGAAAATACTAATATTGAATGTTTCAATTTTTTTTATGTTTAAATGTTATTATTTTTTTGTGTTTAAATGTATTATTTTTTGTGTCCAAATGATAATTTTTTTTTATATTTGAATGTTACTATTTTTTATTTTTAATGTTACTATATATATATCAATAAGAGAGAAAAAAAATTTAATGTTAGTCAAACTCTTAACCTATATATGGATATAGATAGATATGAGAGAGAAAATATTTTAATGTTAGTCAAATTCCTAAGATTTAGAAGTTTTTAATTTTCAATTTTATTTTACTTCTAAAGGGAAGGGATAATATGATAAAATTGACAAAAAATGGACTCTATAACAAATAAGTTTTCTTGAAGAATTTAAGTCCAAACAAGTTTATATAGGGAGATCGGCCTCCAAAATTCCCAACTTTCAATGCCATTATGTGGCCCAATTGTCCAGACGAAAAACAATAACAAAAAAGAGTATTGGACTTTAACAAACTAAATAGGGTTTTTTTGCTGTAGGTATAATTTTTTAGACTTATTTGAAAAAAAGTGTATAGATAAGTTATTTATACTATTAAGTTCAATTTTAATAAAATATATTATGTTTAGGTATAAAATTCAAATAAATCAAATTTGGTTTACCTAAATACCCTCCCTAAATTATACATTTTTTATTGGCAATTATATATCTAATCAAATATGTAAAGATTTTATTAGACTCTCTCACTATCTCTCTCCTATTTTCTCTCTATCTCTCTCTCTTTGCGCATTATTTTTTCCATCTCTCCCTTATTTTCTCTTCATATCTATCATTGATAATTTATTTTCTTTTCGAATATGTAAAGATTTAATTTTTTTCATATCTCTTTCCCCTATTTCTCTCTCTCTCTCCCTTCCCCTTTTCTCTAACCATTTCTCTCTCTCTATTTTTATTAACATTACAACTACACAATTACACTAATCAGTTATACCAATCAATTACAGTTGTCTTATAATACACCAAATAGTTACCCCTACATTTAATAAATTAAACAATAATACCAAACAATTACAAATATTTATAACATCAACTTAATTTGTCATTCAATTTTTTACAAAAAACTAAATAGTTAGAGTATTTAGTATCGTAACATCGTTACATGAATCATATTTATCAAATTAGCATAATAGTAAGTCTTTTGTGTAATAATAAATTCAATTTGGTGTATATAATCGGTGTAATCATGTCGTGATACTAAATTGTATACCTCTTTGATTTATGTAATAACAAAATGACAAATTGTGTTGATGTTGTAATTTCGTATAATTGTTTAATTTAACTATTTGGTTTTATTAGAACACATGAGTAACTATTTAGTGTATTATAGGATAATTATAACTAATTCGTGTAACTGATTAATGTAATTATGTTGTGTAACGTTAATATAAAGAGAGAGAAAAAAGGAGAGAATAAGGAAATAATAGGAGAGGGAGTGAAAGAGATGAAAAAATTAAATCAAATCTTTACATATTTAAAAAAAATATCAATATGAGAGAAAAGTGAGAGACAGTGAAATAGATAGAGAAAAAAATAGGGAAGAGAGAGTGAAAAAGTAATAAAGAGAGAAGGAGAGAGAGTAATGCAGTAATAAATACCCTTTTAGTCTTTCTTCAAAAAAATGTATTTAAGGTCAAATAAGTTTCCTTAATGTAGTTTAACTCAAATAAGTTTAAAATTTTGTACCGACTTTTAAATTACCCAACTAAATAGGGTTTTTTTGTATTTTGTAGATGTCTCTATTTCTATTTTCCACCCCAAAAGATTTTTTTTCCCCACATTGCACCCTGAAAAATCATAAATTAGTTCTAATGTGACATTTGAACTAACATTTATTTCAGATTTTATTAAAAATTAATAGACTTACCACCCAAAGATATGAATGATGAATATATATTTTCCCTAGAAACAACACATGTGGGTGGTATGTTCATCAATTTTTAATAAAATTTGAAATTGATGTTAGTTTGAGGGCTACATTGAAACTAATTTATGATACAATGTTAATAAAATATTTTTTCAAAATACAATGTGAGAAAAATAATCTTTTAAAGTATAAAGTGAGAATAGAGATATCTTTCGGAATACAAAATACAAAAAACCCAACTAAATATTAGAACAAACTAGGCTTGCTTAAAATGGTTGTTGCAACATAAATTTTAGTCAATGATAAGTTGGCTTCCATTATTTTAATTAGTGATAATTGGGGCTCAGAAAACTAGTAATCAACATGTTATGACACAACCTCTCTCGCTCTCGCTCTCGCTCTCGCTCTCTCTCTCTGTCACACATACACATACACAAAGTATCATGAATGTTCAAATCTTTTATAATCTTTAATCTCTTATAAAGTTTAATAGCATTTTTTAATTTGAGGGTCTAATCAATAAAGGATATTTAATTTATTTGTTTCTTTCTTCTTTTTATCTGAAAATTATTTGTGAGGTTTTATTTATCTATTTTTTAAATTTTGTGCTCAGTTTAATTCAATGTTGGCAAAACTAGTTATTATAAATTTTTACTTTTTAAATTACACATATATTTTAACATAAGTCTATCAGCTTGAAAAAATTACTCATAATAAAAATAAATTAAAAAATTAAATAAATTAGTAGCATATAGAGATTAGATTCTTACAAATATAAACTAACATTAAATTAAAAACACTAACCTACACTAAAAAACTAAATTCTTCTCCAAATACAAGTATACATTTTTTTTCCCAGAGATGCCTATAAAAATTTGGATATAAAATCTTAAAAATATAAAGATATTGTTTTAAACATATATATTTTATTATTTTGATGATCATTTACTATTTTATATCTGTTATATAAAATACAAATAGGCCCCATTAATAGTCTTGAGTAACTGCGTTTTATCTTGAGAGGGTCCTCGTTGTACAGGGTTTGTTATAATAATGTTAACAATCATATACTAGCAAATCCTTATCATGAATGAAATATAAAACACCTAACGCCAAGCCAATCATCTACGTGGAGTACATATCACATCGTAGGACAGTAATTGAGGTCAAACATTAACAGTCAGTGGCAACACCAAACACTTACAATTCTCAGATCATCGGATAGAGCTGAGACTATGCTTCAGTTTTCAATTCAACGAGGTAAACGTCTCAATTCACGTATCAGACTACCAATCGAGTGTAGTTCAACAATATCCTAATTTGATTTCACGTACGTGTGTGTGTGTGTGTCAGTGAGGAACTTGGGATCATTGAGGCATCGGATATTTGACCTCAGAAGTTATGATTTCTCCACCGCCGTTGAACCCTCTTGGAGACTTCGCAACCCTCCGGTAAGTGTTGTTTCTTTCGACAGAAATTCGTTTCCCGGAAAAAAAAATATATATTCATGTGGCATAGGATGATGATTTTATTATCTCAACTAGAAAATTTAGAAACTGGGTGATTTTTTCCTATCTTGCACAATTGATTTGGCTCAGCTTGTTAGAGATTCTCATATTATCGGATTGAAGGAAAAAATTTCGTCCTATATTTTGTTGTTTTCTTAGTTGTTATTTCTTTGTGTCTATTTTGAATTTTGATGAGCTTAATAGTTATACTGTTCCTATTATATCAGAGAGTTCCAAATATTATTGGAGGAAGTTTTGTTGATTCTCAATCATGTGACTCCATCGATGTTTTGAACCCAGTAAGTTCAGGAGCAATGTTTTAATTTTTTTTTTCTTTTTTTGGGTGTCTTGGACGAGTGTTTTCTCTAACTGTTTAGTGGTCTGGAAATAGGCAACACAGCAAGTTGTGTGTCAATTACCATTGACAACGAATGAGGAGTTCAAGGCTGCAGTATCTGCAGCCAAACAAGCCTTTCCATCATGGCGAAACACGCCAATTACAGCCCGCCAGCGTATCATGTTCAAGCTCCAAGAACTTATTCGAAGAGATATGGTTAGTGCGATGTGTTTTCCAATTTCAATCGGCTTGTGTTCAGCGAATGATTTTCATGGATTGCAATGATTCTAATTCTTGTTTTAGGATAAACTTGCCATGAACATTACAACAGAACAGGGGAAGACATTGAAGGATGCACAAGGCGATGTGTTCCGTGGATTAGGTTGGTACTTTTGGTAATTGGTTGTTGTATAAGAAGACATCTTCTTGATAGTTTAGTTTCTGAAATTCTGGGGATATCTCTTGAAGAGGTGGTGGAACATTCTTGTGGGATGGCAACTTTGCAGATGGGAGAGTTTGTTCCCAATGTCTCGAGTGGAATTGATACCTATAGCATTAGAGAGCCGCTTGGTGTTTGTGCTGGGATTTGTCCCTTCAACTTCCCCGCAATGATTCCTTTGTGGGTAAGACTGCTATTTGTTGCTTTTCCTTTTAAGTATTTTTTCATTTTGTTACTAGTATATTCTCTGCCTCTAGGGTAATTAAACTAATCTCAGAGGGAGGGTCCTTCTAGCATATTCAACTAACCAAATCTTGGGGTCCAAGAGAATGAATAGTCTATGACTCTATGATGGGGGACAAAATAAAGGTCCAACTAATCAATTGAGCATATTTGAATAGAACTGTAGTACCGTCCTACCTAAACCTATCAAACTTGATGAATGGACTTAAACTAAATATTACCCTCAAAGTGAACACTATTAAATTAATGTTGGATAGTTGCAGGAACTGTAATGAGCTTGTCTTCATAAAATATTGTCGCTCCTCCATTCAAAACATGGCAAAAACGAAGGTGCTTTATCTGATGCTCTCTAATGAGGAGTACTTCTGGAAAAAAACTTTTTTTAAAATTTTTTTTTAGCATCTGTAGTAATTGGGCCCATGAGCTTCTCTTTTCGGGTGACTAGATCCCACAAATGCCTACTTGTGGATAGTGTGGTATAGTGGCAAACTCCTGGGAAATATGAGCCTAGATTTTATTCACCTCGAGGACGAAGCTCTTTTATGCTTGCCCTCCAAATCAAATTCAAAGCACTTCATTTTTTAGGCCACTGGCTCTCCTGTACTTGGGAACTAAACTCGTACTACTCATAAAGATCTCAAGTAGCAACTCTTCTAAACCTTGGCCTGCCAAGAAGAAAGAAGAATTAAACAATCAGCAGATGTTGTCAAACTTGGATAGTGAAAATGATTGATTGTCTTTTTTTTTTGCTGCTAGCATATAAAACTAAAACAAAGGAGGATAGGTTTGTTTCTCATTCTGACTTGTGTATGGTCAAGGGATGATTTTTTGAGAAGTCATCTACAAAAAAGCACTGTTTTTGGGTGGAACCTTGGACAAAAGAACATGCCTGATAGTAAAGACACCACTATAGCATGAGAGACTATTAAATTTGTCTAGCTATCACAGTAGAACTCCAAAACCAAGTGAATCAGTAAGTTTGTTACAGTTCGTTCTGGATGGGAAACTGTATGCATTATGCTTAATTTTCACTTGCAAACAAGATGTGGTGTTGTAATGGCACTTGAAATATCTTTCATTAACAAAATGTTAGTAATACAAAAGCATGAAGAACTTCTCTGAATGTTTACATTGTGGTTTTCTGCAGATGTTTCCAGTTGCAGTTACATGTGGTAATACCTTCATTTTAAAGCCATCGGAGAAAGATCCAGGTGATTGTTATAGCTTTTGAGTAATGCGATAAACGATTCGAGCATTCTTTCCATCCTTGTCACACCATTGTTGGTTTCATATGCAAAAAATTAGATTGAACACCTTAAGTTTGGTGTTAATTTTCCTACAAGCACTTGCAATACTCAGATATAAACCATTTCAATCAAGAAATTCAACACTATAGTGCATCGCTGGGCTTCCACTTAAAGAGCAGAACAATCAACTAAGAGTGAACAATTAGAATTGACTAAAGAAGCTAAAGGAGAACAGTCTTATCTTAAGAGTACGTCAAATGAACGTGAACGAGTTGGTCAACTTGCTAATCGGCTTGACCTCTTTTCGTCGGTAAATTTTATTGCTAACAAACATTAAATGTTTATCTAGGGAAAATGATTTTACCTTCATTGTATAATTTGGTCTGTGGAGCAATTAGGCATAAGTTTATACCGACTCCTCAGAATTTGGTAACTTCAACTCTATTAACAATTACTTATGAATCTTTTTCGGTTTACACCAATTATCTCAAGTTTTGGATCGAACTAATCCATTGACACAAATAGTTCATGGGAGAAAATTGAGTTATTTGAGACCTAGAGGATTGACAGGACGAACTGCTAGTTTTCGAATAAGAGATATTCATCCTAGTCACTATGGACGTATTTGTCCAATTGACACATTTGAAGGAATTAATGTTGGACTTATTGGATCCTTAGCAATTCATGCGAGGATTGGTCATTGGGGATCTCTAGTTTTATAGGGGTTTAGAAAAACGGCTGTTATGTAACGTAACGGTATCGGAGGCCAGCGATACCGTAACACCCTGATTTAACAGTCAGAAAAAAATTCACACCCGTAACGGACTGTAACGGGCGTTATATTCTGTTATTCGGCCGTTACACTTCAACAACCATGGATTTTTTACTAGAAAACCATAAAATCAAAGAATAAATGAAACGAGAAGAATAGAGATGTGTAAATTTGGTCTCTCTTCAACGGCATCAACTTCTAAACCACTGCTTGGCTACTTTGAGTGGAGCTTCAATTCTTACATGGATTAGCCGATAGTGGAAGAGAGAAATGCCTCTTCTGTTTAAGATAGTGCTATTTGGGGACAGATGAACAACGGAGAAAAGTGGAGGAAAAGAGATAAGTTTTAGGGTTTAGATAATGGTTATGAAAAAACTAAGTTGCCCTTGTTGTGAGATATTCTCTAAAGTGATAGCCAGCCCAAATGTAAAAAATGGGTCTAGCTTGGTCCAATGGAATTTACAGTCAGATTTTTTATTTTGTATTTTGGTAATATTTTTCCATCGTTTAGGAATGTACATCTATAATTAAAAAGAAGATTCTACATCTCAATTGGCTATGATTTCTAAATTTTTCCAAAAAAATTTAAGTGGATTGCCTTTAATTAAAAGTCATGTAAAAACTCTTATCATGTAATTACTAAATGATAAATATATATAACATTGTTTATGATACAATAAAATGTATAAAGTATCATAGAAGGTCTATATTTGCAAAAACTTAGAGTTAAAAATGCATAAATTTATTTTTTTAGAGAGGTGTGAAAGAAAATAAAAAATTCACGATCTCAGTTTCCATTACTGTAATGTAGCGCTCGTTTCATCCCGCGTCCGTTACACCGTTACCGTTACCATTACCGTTACTGCGCCGTTACCGTTATTCAGAACCTTGGTTTTAGCTGTCTTTAAATTCAGGTTTTGAAATGATTCTTATAAGATTGGTGCTCTTTTGTTTCCTCTGTTTCGTGCTGCAGCCTTGTATTTGGTGCTAGCATTTCTTTTTATTTTGTTATTTTCCTGATAGATTTTTTGTTTTGTTAAAAGGATTCACCGGAATTTAGCCAACCAATGTCATCCTAGATGTTCAGTACTGGAACTATCCTCAATTTTGCGACCCTACTGTTTGTTACACCTGTGGTGCCATCCACTAACGCACCTGCACTTCCTCTATTAAACCCAACAACAATGAAGTATACCATAAGTGTGAGCTTCATTGGTTAATGTAAACTCTAATCTTCAAGGATCAAGGCAATAGTATAAAGCATGCCCTCATTGGTGCAGAGGTTATCTTCAGTCAGAAGAGAATAATTGGAACTTCTAGGGCTGGATAGAATCGTCTATATCTGTGCACTGGCGCATCTGGCTGACTTGGTTGCATGAATATACATAGGGTTTGTGTGAACAAGTCATGCACTCGACATTTCTCGGCTAAGATTGAACTACTGACGGTTTAGATATTTTCTGAGGAGTAAGCTGTACACCTACGTTTTTTTTTGGGTGCTTTTTGTGTTTATTTTGGCAATGTTAGTTTGTTGAATGAGCATTTTCATTTCTCACCGAACTCGTGGGTTGTATTATTTCAAGTTAATGAATTTGCTATATTAGTTTATCTTGCGCTTGATATGAAAAGGATGGTGTCAATGACTTTTTTTTTTTCTTTATTTTTTTTCCATTTTTTCTTGGGGTACGGTGGGGTGTTCCCGCCCCCTCCGATGGCAGAATCTTCCATGAGGGCTTGTGCACTTACAGTATCTCTTTTAATAGGTTCATTTACCTCAGGTCCTTCAGGATCCACAGTCCAACAAGCTGATTGGGACATGCCGTAGAAAGGGAGGACTGTATGCAGCTAGCAGATTTCTTCACAAAATCGCATCCTGTCACTTGTTTTCATTTTCTTCTTGGCAAACTCTTGATGTTTTCTGTTACCACTTCATGAGTTTGAGGAAGGATATTAGAGTAATTAGGTTATTTAGACTTAGGGTGTAGCTTAATCATTTTGTTTACTTTTATGTTG